GCTTCTTGAAGCTATTATCTATCGATCTCTGCCTTCCCAACCCCTTTAAAGTTCCCGTACTCGCCCAAAATTTTCATCAGAAGGTGTCAGGATAATCAGGACGCTCAGCTCTTCCCACCCCCAAAAAAAGAACAGGTTTCCTAGCCGCTGCCCCAACAGCCTTAAAAGAAAACCGGATCCGCGGCAGGGGGGAAAAGACTGTTTTCCGGTGTGAATCCGGATCCGTTTCCTCTTGTTCTTCTCCCGAAAAATCTTCTCCTATCAATCTATCGTCTCCAATTTTCAGGACCGCCCCCTGGATAACCCTCTCCATCAGCCATCCAACCATTTTGGACCGTCTAACGGTGGTGGATTGTTCGGCAACAAATAGAAAGCCGCGCCGCTTCATCACTTTTATTTGCTACTCTACCTATTATTACTCCATTATACTACGTACACGCCTATTCACACCCCTTCACCCTACTGTAGCACGCATCAATAGGTTGGTTTTATTCAAATTTACTAGTAGTTCCTTTTAAATCACACTTCAAATGGGTCTAAAGCTGTCATAGTCAAGACTCAAGGTATACAAACATGATTAACAACTTCCAAGGAGCTAACCCCATCCCCGTTCCAAAAAGCAAAAAGGTATGGTGCCTCATGCTGGAATCGAACCAGCGACCTTCTGTTTACTAGACAGACGCTCTGCCACTGAGCCAATGAGGCGCTGCGGGTGGGCCTGGGGGAGAGGGTCTTCCGCCGAGGCTCCGCCCCCCGGCAACAGGCGGGTTAGCCGAGGGGTCGTGTGATCAGGAAGCGCACATTTTCGAGGTTTTAAAAGTTTAAGCGGGTTTTAAAAAGTTTCTAAAGTTTGTAGTTTTCAAATTCGGTTTAATTAGTAAATCTTGTAAATAGCTGGTAAGATTGAGCTTTAAAAGTTGATACGATAGGAAAAACTGGGAATTTTCAGGAATTCTAAAAATTAGACCGTTTTAAACCGTTTTAAAGTTTGTCGTTTTGAAAATATGCTTAATTTGTATATAACACCGTTAATTGATGTGATTTAACGCCTAAAATTTAACATATAAATAATTACGGTACGAAAATCGCTAGGAAACCAAAACTTGGCAAAATTCCAAAAGTTCTAACTCCCCGCAGCTCCAAATGACGTCAGCGCCGCGGGCGCGCGAAAGGAATGTTGATAGTGTAGCGTGTAGTCGGGCAATTTGTCAAAATCTTCTCCTTATTTGGGGAGAGCGGAAAGGGCGGAAGAAGAATGAGCGGGAATTGGGTCACGGTCAAGAGCCCATTCTCGCAAAAAGACACACACACACACTCACATACATAATATGGGTCAGACAACAAGACAAATCAACACCTTCAAGGGACTTTTCCGAGAGAGAAAATAATGACGATTTCACAGGGATCTCTGCTAAATTGCCTGGGGCAGGCTAGCAGGGGTGCTTAGGGACGAATTACGATTTTGGAGAGTAACGCTCAAATGTATGTAAATTTTTTAGAGATGGGTCTCCTCTCAACCATCATCCTGTCTTCTCTGCCCCTCCTCGTTTTCTATCCTCCCTCGTCGATGGCCCAAGAGTTGGGCCCCTGTGCAAATATACCCAAATTACTGTGCTGCACCGACAAAGTTATAGGTAAGGAGAGAGACCGGGAGAGAGAGAGAGAGAGAGAGAGAGGGGGAGAGAGAAAGGTTTTGCGTTTCCCTTTAAAACATCCAAAACCATATTTTGATTTCCAGAAAAATGCCTGCCAGGCTGTCTTGATCACATCACCGAGAATTGCCCAGCCAAGCTCGAAAAGTTTGAGACAATCGGAGCCGCACTCCCCGCATCGGCTCAAGTACGGGTTTTTGCTCGTGCTCCAATTTCTTGAGAAGGAACCAATTTAAGAGTTTGTAAATTGTTTTTTAGTTTGTATTTTTCAAAATTGTAAACCCAAATTAATTCAGCAATCATCATCCCAACATCAGAACAACAACGCCCGTCAAGTCCATGTTGGAAGGGAATCCGCTCGTCGAGCACCACAAAGTGAGTGGAAGTGCAGGCTAGCAGAAATTTTTGCGGAAATTAAGATAGAAATTAAGAAGCCAACTGGCAAGGATTCCTTAGGAAAATTTGCGGAAAACCCAAATAACAAAAAGCCCTGGGGAATTACCGAAATCCTTCTTTTTCAGCCGGCGACTACAAACTACTAAACAGCGAGTATCCAGTCACCGAGGTGTCCGATAAGGATCTCAGTACGGATTGCGGCACTGAACGGTTAGCAAAAACCGGAATTTGGTAATTTTCGGAATTTCAGATCAAAGCCCCCGTATTCGCCATGCTTGTCGCGAAAGGCGGTAGATGATCTGTTTATGTCGTGCTGTAGACAACATGTAAGTGAAGAGAGAAAAAAAAAAAGAGAAAAAAGAAAGGGAAGAAAGAGGAAGGGGGGAAAAAAAGAGCGAGAAAGAGAGAGAGAGAGAGGGAGAGAGAGAGAGAGAGAGAGAAATACACTTTCCTTCCAGGTCCCCTCCAACTGCCATTCCCTCTGCTCCTATGAACACCGTGAGCACAACGCCGCCCAAAACCTGATCCAGGTACCGTAACATTCTAATCAGCTAAGTACACTCCACTCCTTGAGGCGGTCCAACAAGACGAATGCGACCTGAAATACCTCTCGTCGATTCTCTACTGTGCCGGCCAGAATCGAGACAATCGTCCGTGTTGTACCCATTTGGGAATGGCCAATGATGAGCTGGGCGTTGGTGATAGGTAAGCAGATTCTGGATTTCTCCTAAATAATCTCTGCTAGCACGCGTCTTTTAAAGGGACTAGGAAGGCCGGGTTCTAAGACCATAAATGCCCTGATTTTTGCCGATATCAATTTTTGGTTCAGATGCCTGCGTATGTGCAACATTGGTGTGGCGGGTGACCGTCTTCGCGCCGTCGAGAAAGAGGACCTCGTCTGTCTCTCCAATTGGAATGTTCTGATGTATTGTGCCCGATCCGGTCTCAGGACCATCAACTGAGCTGCTTCCGCTTCCTCTCAAGCTTTTGCTTATCTTGGCTTAAAGGGCGAGGGAATGGGAGGTCGAGTTCCAATGTTAAGTGTAATTTTTGGGCCAATGGTTCGATTCCGGCGCGTGGCAAAGTTTTTTGCTTTTGGAAAATACACAAAAACTGGGTCTTGCGCCCGGACGGAGTTCGCCCCTCACTTCAAGATGGCCCGTGTTCTACAAGTCCGCTTTACACCCATGGTGTATCGGCAAAGCTCTCACCTCCCATTCACACTACCAGGGTTCGGTCCCCGGTCGCTGCATAACAGTGTCCTTTTTGGTCAATCGAACCCAACCCCATTTTGCAATGCTTTTACAGCACCCAACTCGACTTCCCTTCCCCCAAAACCCCCAAAAATCGGTGATTTCCTGGCAACCCTGGCTTGTAATGCTCCCTCCCTTCCAAATTGTATAGTCCCCCTGTCACTGTCCCTTTAATATTCGAATCGACACCCCCCCCCGATTGGTCACTAGCTCCCTGAAAATACACACACAATTCGGTCACAACCCAGTGTGGCCACAGCCGGGGAAGGGCTACAAACTATGAGAGCCCCTCTAAGAAGTGCCCCAGATACCGTACCCCGGCCGTGTCCCCTGCCCCTCCCCGTTGTTAGTTATCCCATCCGTCCTCCTAGTTGCACCCCCCCCCAAAAGAGAACAGATCTGCAGGGTACCTTACACCCTCGTAAAAGTTGTAGTTGCCCCGAAAAAATTTTTGATTTTTACCCTTGTTATCACCGTCGCAGATTGGCTTGTCGTGGGAAGAGCTGACTGAGCTCGGGTTTAGCTTAGGCTTCGGCTTAGGCTTAAGCTTAGCAAAACCTAAGCCAGCCGGCTATCTCGGCTAACTTTTAATGTGTCCACGACAAGCCCACAGCCGATGTTTGCCTTACTTTTCTCATATTTGAATGATTTATAATCGTTAGCATGTTGCCTTTTCTTCCCTCTGTCTCTCTATTTCTCTCACCCTCTCTAATAATCCGCCAAAACCTCGGGTGACCCGTCTCGCTATAAAACGTAACCGAAATACCGTACCCCCCCAAACAGCCAATATCCGCCAAGACATGTAACCACAACCCCCACGATCCGTTGCGCAATATTATACCTTAATTTTTGGTTTGGTTTATCCAATTTTATTGCTCACCTATTCCCCCCGATCAAAGCATAGACAGACAAGCTGTGCTTGCAAATATTCCCCCAATATTATTCATCATATTTGACAATAAATAAATCGTTTTCAATGCGGCTGTTAGCTCCAATTACATTTTACGAATAGTCTTCAAATCATCAAATCAATCGACAAAGCGTAAATTGCATAAAAACACTCATTCCATGCTTACTTTTGCGATACAATTCTGCTACAAGATGTATAAGCTTAAAAATAGTGTATAACCCAAAAAGTTAAGACAAACCAAAACTTCTGCTCAGCTACGAATCTAAGTGCGCCTGCGGAATTGTCTGGGCGTTTTTCGCTGAAATTTGCATAATTGATTTCAATATTGCATATGAATTATTTGGATGTAATTGGCCATCCTTGACCCAACTTTCTTCATGAAGTAGCCGTTTTGCGTTAGTGCTGATTGGACGACGCCGCTCCCCTCCCCATCGCCGCCGCCTCGTCGACAAGCAAACGGACCACCAAGGAGAAGCCGATCCAGACCCGCTCCATGATCGCTTTGAAGTTCAACGCGAAGATGGCGTTCCCACTTGTAAGTACTTCGAGTCACCCATCTGAAAAGTATGGGATAATGCAATTTTCACTGAAAACATAATGTATCAGTCAACGGAAGTTTGAAGCACGCAGTACTAAAAGAGATTTGAATAGAAACTTGATACAACAAAAAATAAGACATTTTTGCATCCGGCTTGTTTGCCTGCACGGAAATGGCTTGCATTTTCCTAAGTTTTGAATTCAATAGAGAAGCGAAAGAAAGCCGAATCCAGAAAGCCGAACCGCCGCCGAATGTTCGACCCCGACAAACCGCCGCCCGAACGCGTCGATGACAATGCCAATGCGTATGTTTTATTTCTGGTTTTTCACTTTATCTATTTATTTCCAGCTCGAGCCCGGTCGGACGTGGGCAACCTGCTGATGAGGCCATCTACACGCCCAGGATGCTCATCACGCCAGCTCACATCGTGGCGCGTATATCACCATCGATGTCCGTGCATCGGATCCAGTCGGCCAGGCCCTCTCTCACGCCTTCGCAGGCTCGACGGTAGGCTTCTATAGAATTTATGATGATAGCAGCAAATTTGGTTTTAGGCTGATGATGACCCCCGACGAAGTGCAGACAATGATCGCCGAGCATCCGTGCACTCCCCTGCACACGGCTGCCACACAGGGCTCGCCGTATAACAACAATGCTTTCGTTTCTTCGGGCTGCTTGGGCGGTAGCCGGTGATTGATTTTTCTTTTTTTTGTATATGCCTAGCTGTTAAAATGGCGAAAAATTCATTTTGGCTGAAAATTACCAAACTTTCGACTTTTTCGCAAAATTATTTTACTTCGAAAGTTTTTATAATTCAAATATAGTAAAAATTTACCAAAACCGAGTATCACTAAGCCAACCTTAAAATTGGGAGGGGAACGCGTCGATCGGCCCGTCCGTCCTCCCTCCCTCCCACCCCATGTTCTGAAAATCCTGAAAAAAACCCCCGGTAACCGGGCGCGGGTTCGAACCCGCGTAGCTGGCTAACCTTTTCCTTTTTGCCAGACCGTTCTGTCACCTCGGGTATCATCCCAGCTCTTTTCAAGTGCATTTGACTTATTTATCGGTCGGAAAAATTCTGGCGCAAAAATTTTTAATAATTTTTATAGTTTTTTACTTTACCTTTGTTTCAGAATTCGGCTTCGGCGCGTGGCGCGTTCCTGACCACCCAGCCGCCTACGTCTGTGCTCCGCCCCATCGCCGGCGCCTCGTCCAAGAAGAACCCGACCCAAGCCCGCTCCATCATCTCATTGAAGTTCGATATGAAGATGGCGTTCCCCTTGGTAAGCATTTAACCCTGATACCATGCCATACCTTTCAAATGTTCAGATGATGGACGTTCTTGAGTGGTTCCTCGACCACGAAGCCGGCGACGCCATCACCGAGTCGGCTGATCTTCCCCGCACCACCCACGAGATCTTCCTGGATTGGGAGGGGTTGATTTCGGACGTGTAGGTTTCCTGATTGGTACGCGATTTGCCTTTGGCAGATTACGGGGGAAATGGCGGCTCTAGGACTCGCGGGGGACCAACTTTTTGCCTGGCGGTCCCGTTGGCCTGGTAACCGCATATAATTTCTTCTGGCATTGTTTCTGTTATGTTTAACTATATTTAAAGTACAAAAACTTTCAAAAATGTTTGGAAAAGTCGCAAATTTCGTCATTTTGCTTCGGCAAAAAAATCATTTTTCAACCTCATCAACTTTCGCTCAAAAAGCTGGTTCCCCCTCCCCCGCGAATCCTAAGGAACCACAATGGCTTATTTTCAGGGCCGCCGAGGAGATGCGTGTTTTTCTCCTCTGCCATGGGAGGACGCGAGGCTTCCTGGACGGTGTCCCTTCAAAGCGCGTCCAATTCGCCGAATGGTACAATTTTTTTTCAAAAGTTTCAATTTTCAAAATTTTCAAATTTTCAAATTTTCATTTTCCCACCCATTTCACCTCACATAAAGGGGAGGGGGGGGGGGGGGAAAACCACTGTTTGTTTTCCTCCTGCTTTTTCTACCTGTTGGTAATATCCTACTATATATAAAAAAATAGTGACTGTGTGTGTGTGCGCGTGCGCATTTGCATGCAACTTCCGCTGTATGTTCCAGTCGTATCTCGAATACGGGAGGAAGTTAAGGGCATGTATGATACGTCATTAGGTGCGTAATGGTCATGTGCGTAATGGTCACTGCACACCTATAATATTTTCAAAAATCAGCTATTTTCGATATTAAAATTAGGTTTTTGTGAAAATCTCAATCGGCCTCTTTGTTAGGAATCAATTTGCATGCACCGGAAGTGGGGAGAGCTTAAATCTAGGAGTGACGCGTGTTTCAAATTTTTTGCATAGGAATTCAGGAGTTTATGCCCAAAGTAATGATTTACGGGGTCAATCCAGGGCCCCGGCTAAAAAGTCGCGAAGCGGCTTTTCAACCCTGGTATAACCTATGTTTATTTACAGTTATTATTTAGTATATGTTTATAGACCCCGATGTTCAAGAAGACGAAGAAAGATGGAGATGACAAAATCTTCCTCCCTGTAGGTTTTTGGTTGTTTCACGGCCGTTTTGCTACGACTTAGGTGCTTGTAAATCCGAAACTCGCTATGATAACGCATTTTAGTGTGGGTATGGCTTCCGCGGGCCCGGAGGCATCGTCTACCGCAACAAGTATGGACGGGCGTGCTGCGGCGGGTGCCGCGCCATCTATGGGTAGGCGCTGTTGTCATTTCCAGTTTGGTTGGCGGTTCTGGACTGTTAGCGGGGGGATTTCTAGCAGGGCGGAAACCACGTTTTTTCCACAGTTCGTTGTTGCTTCAGGGGCTACTTGCTGATGTTATATGATGTAGTAGCTATTGTATTTTTAGTAGTTTTTATGGCTAGAACGTTATAAGGAACATATTTCAAAATTTTCGAAAATTTTCATTATTTTTGATATAGTTTTTAAATTTTTATACAGCTATGTATAATGCGATAGAAATAGTTTAAATTTTGTCATAGCGCCGTAGAGAATCACAGGGAACAATTTGGTTTCTACCCCCCCCCCGCTAACAGTCCAGAACCTGGTTGGCTATATACATCAACGTATTCAAATCAGCACTTTTTTTAGCGAAGATCCGGTGAAGCCCTGCCTCGAATCACCGAACTGCGCGCGCTTTCAATGCGAAAGGTATGACTTCCTTTTGATGTGAAGTATTCAATTTCACTTGCAGGTCAAAGCCGATCCAGAATTCTGACCGCACAGTGATCAATGGCGAGTTTTTGACTGATCACTGAGATATGTTTATTTTTAGGCGCCTGTCACGGATGCATCAAGAACAACCTCGAGGACTACAAACATCACTACGAAAGCGGGCACCACCATGGCTGATGCTGAAAGCAAAAAACAACACGTTTTAAATTAACTTATCGCCTGTATAATAGTTTTTTTACTACTTGTCTCAGCTCGTCGTGCATGATGTGATTCCAGAAAAAATGTGGTTGGCATTATGGAATAAAGATATACCGCCAATTATGAACACTCACTCATTGACACGCTAAATGCACCCAAGATATATTCGGCAGCGTTTGAAAATTCAACGTTTTTTCAAATTTTACTTGTTTCTAGGCAACGCCAAGTTTATTGTGTGCAGAAATTCGCGTTCGCTGGTCCCGTGTTCAGGTGTAGACTTAACAAACACATAAATATTGATTTTTCTGCCAAAATGGCGAATTTTCGGCAAAATTTCGACTAAAAAAAATTTGTTTCCAAGTTTTTGCTGTTTTCCGCTTGAAAAATAGTCAAATTTTACTAAAAACGAAACTTTTTTACTACATTTTACTTTTATACTTTTACCCTTTTTTACTAGCTAGTTTTAATGAACTACCGACTACTAATTACTAGGCATTTCTGGAGTAGGTAAGTTGTAATGTTCTGGTGTTACGGTAAGTTGTCGGCATTTCAAGACGTACAAGAAAGGTTGCCGCCCCCCGGATGTTGCGAAAGCACCGCTTCGGTATTACAAACAATTCCGAATTTCGCGCTTCAATCAAGTGGCCCATTTTTGGGGCGTTGGCCAGCTGTTGTTGACCATCTACTCGAGAACCGGCCTCTTTTGAAATCTGCTCTTCATTTTTGCGAGGAAAACAATCTTCTGGGCCCCGCCAGCGTTCCTTCCCACGGCTTCTCCCACGGCCAACGAAAGAATTTGCCCTCCAATTGATCTCCGTTCACGCATCTTGTAGCCAAGTTCATCTGCACTCTCCTGAAAAAAATAGTTATTTACCAGTTAGCGCTCAATAAAAGTAATTCCGATGGGGGACCATTTCATTCGTTGCCCTCCGGACCGGTTCTAGACTGTTAACGGGGGGGGCTATCGTACCTGTCACTAAATTCGTAACGTTTTTTAGTACTAAAAAGCCTAAAAAATCTAGAAGGTTTTAAAATGCTACATTTTTTATCGTTTAATGCAATTTTACCAAAAAATCAAAATTTCTAGATTGTTAACATGCTTTTATTAGCAACTTTTCATATCGAAAAAGGCGTTAAGACTGTTAAAATAATTTATTTTTAATTAATCAACTTCTACCGGAATATACGATGAATTTAGAGCCCCTGCTACCCCCTCCCCCCGCCCCCGCTAAAAGCTCAGAACCTTAGGAGCTAGAAACCCTTGTAGTTCCGCCCAACTAACCGGCGAAACTATGAGCAATTGTCCTGCCATCCAGACAATCGGATCTCTCTCGTCGAAGAGAGAGAGAGAGAGAGAGAGAGAGAGAGAGAACGTGTGGGCCATCACTCTTTCTCCACTTGTGCCACCTTCTTCTCTAATTGTGTGCCCTCTCTTCTCTCTGTCCACTCTCTCTCGCGTGAATCAATGCCCCTTCCTCCTTCTTCTTTGCCCGCTTCAACCCGGGCGCTTGCCAATTCCATCCGTCCGGTTCTTTCACCCCCGGCCGGTCCACTGGTCGGCTGCTCATTTCTGCCCTGGCTATCACCTGCCAGCCATCCCGCTAATCGCCAGCTTCCGCCTCGACTTTTTTTCCTAAAAATTTCGGCCCTTTTTAAACAGAAAGCCGGCGGGCCGAAGACGAATTTCTTCGTCTATATCCTCTTCCCTTTCAGCCCGAAATCCCTTCTAACTTCTAGAGTTTCTAATTCTTTTTATGTTCGACTTTATCTTGATTTCCACCCGCTATTTTTCAGCCGCCACCTCATCGTCAGTGTTTCCTAAAACATGTTCAACTTCTTTTAAAGGAGAACAATACTTTTATAATTATCGATATAAAAGCCAGAATTCTATCGAGATCCCTGCCTTTAAACTTCTGATTTTTTTACTCCTTCTACTTCCCCACCTAGCAATGCCATAGCTGCAAAAAATCCTAGCTCGTTGCCGGGCATCGCCCCCAACTGTTGCCCCTCGAGATCATAAATAATATCCTAATCCTCTTCCCAAAAATGCGCGTTTGGCGTTCGGGCATCTAAAACTTGGAAGCTTGATAATATTTCCGGTTTCCAACACCCCAAACCGCTCATACCCGATGGTGCAAAAATTTTCATTCAGTTTCACGCCGCCAGTTACCCTAGTAACCGCCCAATAATCTTTTTCTTCATCCCAATCCGAGCAAATTACCAAAAGAAATTCTGGCTTCGCCACCCCTCCACCGGGGGGTCCATTATTTGTTTAGCCGCCCGTGGGGGAGTTGCCCCGCAATTTGTTCGACCACTTCCATCATCACCGCCTCCATTTTCAGCCATTTGCTTGGCCTCGACACGGTGCTGCTGCTGTGAAACGGGGATGGGCGGCCGTGCGGCTGCTTCTCCTCTTATTCAACTCCTCATATTTTGTATTCTAGCTAGCTGCGGGCTGACGGCAGAAGTTTGTCGGGATGGCGTCAAGTGAGTCGCTTGATCTCGATAGTGTCCGCGGTACTTCTGCGGTGGAGAAATTGAACCCTTCGGTCTCACAGCGTCGCTTCTTTTTATTTTTGAACCCTGGCGTGCGCGAGACCTGAAAATTGGAGTCCAGGCAAAGACCATGTCGTTCTCTATGACTAAATGTTTGCCGATGCCCTAAAATTAGTCGCTGGCTGGTTTTTACTAAACTAAGGCAAGCGTTAGACTTTTTAGGCAACTAACGAACACCAACGGGACCCAGGTCAGCGATGAATGCTGCGACGGCTTTCTTCGGGATCGTGTGAAGGGCGTCTGTTCACGTATGTTAAAAACTGATCGAGTTTACCGATTTTTCTCTAGCTTGCCCGCTGGGGTGGACGGGCCGAGTTTGCGATCAGCCATGTAGCAAGGGCTTCTTCGGGCCTGCTTGTCAGCATCCCTGTGAAGACTGCGCGGCTTGCGACCGTTTCAGCGGAAAGTGTGAGGAGTATGGTAAGCTAACGCGCGAAATGCCACCTATATGAATTTTTCTAGACTGGAGCAAAGCGTGGGCCGACGGCAGACTATTCGCTTCCATCGTCACAATTTTACTCATCTGCCTAGCGGTGGCCATTCTTTCTATGGCCATCGCGTATACAATGTTTTACCGAAGAAGGCGCAGTCAGAGCTCGCGAGAAGAAAGAACTAGGTAAAAAAACACACAAAAACCTGAATGAGCGTCTATTCAGAATCACATCCGACGTTGACGCCCCCGCTGAAGCCCACCCGGAGCCGACAAACACAAAAGTTTAAGCATTTTTGAGATTAACCAGCCAGTGACGGGTATACTACGGGTCTGTTTAGGTAAGTGACATCTACGCCATCAACAAAATAAAACCCATTCAGGATGTCGCTGTGCACTTTTTCATCCGTCGTCAAAACAGCATAATAATAGTTTTGTAATAAAGATTTATATGTGCCACAACGCTTGCGACACGCCATAAGATCACCGCAGAAAAATGCGCAGCGGTTGGCGCACCCGAGCCTTCTTTCCTCGCAAATCGGGCTTTTGCAGCATTTGGTCGCCGAAGAGGGAGAAGACGCGGCCTTCCAGCACGAATTGGAACACGGAGCCTTGTTTCGGAATTGCTATAAAAAATAATTTGAGAAACCTGGGAAAAAGCTTACTTATATATTTGTCTGCTCGTGTGATCATTTGGATGGTGTATCGGGTCTCTAGGGTAACGATCCCGTGCAGGCCAACCTAAGAAAACGTAGATCACCAAAAGTATTTAAATGAAATACCTGACACTGATTATCGGCTTCCGTCACCATCAAAAGTGCTCCGTGGTAATCAGCCTCAAGCATTGCCTTTTAAAAATTTCAAATTGGAAGTACCTTTAGCAATCGATCACCTATAGTTTTATCCGCCGGAGCGAGCCCGCTAAAGTATTCGCACCACAATTTGTACAACGGTTCGAAGCTCGCGTATCTAAAGCAGAGATTGAAGGGTAAAAATATTAGGACTTACTTCAGGCTTGCCTTATCTTCTTTTGTCAAATTGTTGCGGACCAGGTTCGTTTTCTTCTTTTTGGCCTTCTCCTTCTTCGGTCTTTTTGCGGTGTCGAGGTGAACGACCTGCTTGTCTACTCGTACCATGCTTCTAAATGAAAGAAAGTTAAAGCTATTCGCTGCTCCAACGCGCCTTGAAATATTTGGCAACGAAACGGTGTCTATAGTCCGTGTTTCCTGTTCTTCGATCCCAAAAATTTATTAGTAAAAAAAACAATATCACGTAATAACCACTCATATTTGGCATTTGAGGGGGTTTCGGTAGATGGGATGGGGTAACTAGACGATGAATACAGAACAACCAGAAAGAGAGAGAAAGATAGTGGGTGCTAGGGCATATTAGGAGAGACTAGCGCATGTGCAGGGCTGAAACACAGACAGACGAACCGTAGGTATGTTAGGAAAGATTAGATACTATACAAATAGAAAACAGGGGGGTGGGGTCGGTGAGCTCGAAAAGAACATAGCTTGCGGACAATTGCGGGAAAAGCAATCACCACACAAACCCCTCGAAAAAAAACACAAACACAAAAATGCATGGAGGCACGTTATTATCACAGTCGATGGTTGGTTTGAGGGTACGCTTTGTCTAGGCACTAGGATTTTGTCCAGAGATCTCGACTATTCCACTAGATTGTGCACAGGGTCACGGGAATGGAAGGAATAAGGCTCAAGTAGGATGGGGTGACCGGAAAGACGGGTGGGCTTTTCGTATTTGGCGTTGGCGCTTCGGGATTTTCATCACATGGCCGCCTGTCTACGTTTGCGCTGGAGACGCTCCTCGACGCGGCGAAGTTCCTCCAGCAATTCCTCTTTGGTCTTTTGACGTTGTTTCGGCTGCACTGGCTCTGGAAATGAAACATCATCCAAGACCAAGAAAAAGGACAGCAAAACTATTAGCGGGGGTGGCAATTTAATCGAAATACACTCTTTTTGTAACTTTGTACGCCGTTTTTAAGTACATAAAGTGTCAATGTAAACAAGAAAGTAAAATCTTCGAATTATTAAAAAATTTTATGATTGTAAAGTCCGCCCCCGCTAACAGCACAGATCCGAAAAACTTACGCCGCACAAAGCGCTCTTCCCGACGGCGATGATCATCGCGGGGAGGAGCGGGCGGTGGTGGTGGTGGTGGAGGTGGAGGAGGACTGGCCGATGGAGTGCGCGCTTTCCGGATGCGCTTCGGTGCCGGCGATCGCACACGGGTTTTCGGAGGAGTCAGGCTCTAAAAAATACAATTGGATAACCCAACTCGATTTTACCTTTTTCGGCTTCTCGGCGCTAACAGCCGACGGTGAGGCCGAGTTGACGGTGCGGTATTTGGCAGGCAGGGCCGGGCTTGTAGAGCGGGAGCTGGCGTCCGAAGATGATCCAGAAGAAGACGATGAGGAACGTGAAGATGAGCGTGACGATGATCGGGAAGAGCCAGAGGAGACTGGCTTCTGAAAAAAAACCAGGTTTTAAAAAAGATCAGGCAAGTAAATAGTTTTTCCTAAACATCGTTTTTTTTTTTTTCGAGGTGTTAAAATTTATGTGCCTCCAGAGCAGTCCTTGCTTTAGGAATTTCGGAACCTAAATAGCTGCAAGCAAAAAGCCGAATTGCCAGACCAGCTTGATTTCGCGCCAAAAAAAATTTCGTAAAAAGGTTTTTCGGGAAAATGAAAGGAATCTGCCAAAGGAGACACATAAAGTCCTAATTCTAAAACCACGAACCAGCTCGTCATCACTGATATCTTCAGCACCAGTCGGCTGCAGATCAATCGGTTGATTCGGTTCACGACGCGGGGGAGGCGGTGCTTGATTCCGTTGGTTGTATTGGGCACGCCTTGGTCGGAGCATCGCCGGGCCATTCGGATCCATGTCACGCCACGGCGAGCGGCGGTCAGCTGATGGAGATCGAGAGCGTCTGCAAGTGGAGGGTTAATCGATGGAATTATTGAAATTTAATCCAATGATATTCTCACACACCTGCCCTTTCGCTTGGGAATCCGATATGTAGTCAGGTCGTTTGTAGGTGTGCGACTGCCGGAACCACTAAAAGAAAATTCGAAGGTTTTTATGAAAAGTCATACCTGCGCCCGTTTCGTTTCCTTCCGCTCTTGTTGCGACTGGGCGATCTGGAGCCGGAGCCACTGCGGGAAGACACGGGTGTCATGTTGCTTCCGGTGCGGGCACGGCGAGATGGAGAGCTGGGACGACGCCTAAGTGTCTATTTAGTAAGGGAAATTAATACACACCCGTCAGGACGTTTTTGTTGACTGCCGCGATCCGGATACGTGCATTGCGGGCCGAGCTCTGTAATTGGGATGTTAAAAAATCTAAATCGGCGGCAAGGTAATCGGTACGTTACAATTTTTTTAGTTGAACCGGAAAATACACGTAAATACAAGAAGTTAGCCAATCATTTTTGGACGACACAAACACAGCATTACACGCAAAAACACAAATAAATAAACATAAAACACAACAACCGACGTTTCATGTCCAACGGTCTTCCATATCTGTCCAGCAACCCGGCGCTCCAGCGTGGCGTCAGTGGCGGCGAAGTGTGCCCGGGTCCGAGTCCTCGTCTTATCCTCTCCTCCTCCTCTTCGCGCTCCAGTATTCTATCGACATGGTGCGTGTAGTCGCCTGCGTAAAACACATGCAAAGCAAACCCCGAAATCACCGCACTACTTTGAGTTTCAAAGACACAAAATGTTAGTAGAAGAATTTTGCAACGCGAACAAGACGACAACAAAACAGCACACCCCATGCAAACACGCAAAAGCAACGTCAAGATGAAGATTACCATTGGCCAAATCGTATCCCTTGTAACGAGCAGCTTTACGCCGGGGTGCGCCAACTTCGATGGAGAGGAGCGAGGGAATTCTAAGAATTTTAGGTATAAGGATCATAAAGATTTTTCAACTTTTCGTCATCGCTATCGTTGGCCCAGTCCTGTTCGCCGGAAAGCCGCCCATATTTGCGTTTCTCCTCAAAATCTGGATCCATCTTTTTCTGGTCGGATTTGCGGAGCAGCTGGAAAAGGGGAACCATGGAAACCGAGGTTACTGTCGACAAAAAAAATCGTTTTTGAGCGAGGATACTTTCTCGATCGCGCCTAATAGATAAAACGCTAGAAATAAACCACAATTAAGCTAAAAAACGAACCTCTCTAGCCTCTCGAAGACCCTTCGCCCATGAGTTTTCCGGCTTTGACGAGGAACTAGCCGAAATAGTACGTGACACACCTAAAATTCTATTAAAAACCCGCAAAAGTAAAAATTTACCGGGAGCTCCTCCAAATCTGGCCGTGGGACCCGAGCCGACCTGAAATAAAAAAGTTATTTCCTGAAATCCAGTCGAAAATTACTACCAAATCATGCGGAGAAAGGGGAAATGGTGTCATGAATATTCATATAGGGGACAAAACGACGATTAGCGTGCGGCGACTAATTGCGAATGTTACGCTTTCATACCAACACCGGCCCGACCTTTTTAGCCATAACGCGCGTGTTCCCGGCTAAGGTTAGCCGCGGACCGCTGATTCGAGGATGCTGCATAGAAAATGTGTTCCAAACAAGATGAGCAAAGAAATGGAACCTTTTGCTTCATGTTGACAACGATGGCGTCATCGTCTGAATCCGTGATCTCACCATCTTCGAGCTCCCCGTCCTCGCGCTCCTTTTTGGGTGCCTAAAGGATTACGAATTTCGAGAGTTTTACAAAATACGAACCTTCTCCTTTGAAGTATCGTCTTCCGATACCTCACCATCACTCTTGATTTCGCCGTCCTCCGAGTCGCTGGCAGCCCCATCTTCATTCTCATTCTCATTTTCATTTCCGTTGTCAGGAGACGTCTCCGCCTCACCCTCTTCCTAAGCATCGTCGTTAATATTCTTTATTTTGTGTTTTAACGTAATTTCTATGAAAATTTAAGATTTCCGTCATCCCTTCTGGCTTTTTTTCGTACCGCTTTTGCAGTTTGTTCGCTTGCGCGCTTAATCCAAATCACAGAGGGAGATTTTTTACTCTACTTTCCAGCTAACGTCTTACTTACAATCATTGCTCTTAAACAAAAAACACAAAACAGTGGAATACCTCCTCGGCACGTGGTAGATCTTCAGCATAGTCGAGGTCGATCTCCTCCTCCGCGCCGGGAGCATCAAGAATTGGGGTCGGCCCGTCACCACTAGCATTCACATGAGCCGTCTCTTCAGGTGGTGGCGTCACTACAAAAAGCAATTGACTTCTCTTCTATGTATCTTCTCTTTCTTTTCCGAATCCGTTTTTACCGGAGTTTGAGACTTTTTTGCCACTTGTAAGCTGGTTCTGCAAGATTTTTGAAATCTAGGTATAATTTCAGAAACAGCCCGAGTTTAACAAAAAAAAGAATTTGGAAAAATTATATCTAGGAAAACGAACAACATCTGTATTTCACTAACCTGGCCCCTTGGCTGCCGCTGGCTGCTCCTGGGCCTCGCCATCATCTGAGGAGATATCGGCGATGACGTCGTCGGCCATTTAACGACCCTAAAAAACAAAGTTAGTGGGGTACGACTCCGTGGCGACAGAAAAATGTTGTTTATTGGCGAGGACGAATTGGTGCCGGGCAGGCAATGCCCAGCAATATAGTGGGTCGCGGGAAAGTGTTGTTGCCAGGTATTGATTGCGGCGATGTTGTGGTATAATAAATGACAAAAAAGACGACAATTAGCAAATATCGCATGTTTCTACGTTAAATTTGTATAGAAAGAATAAACATTAAACCAGGCCATGTAATACTACATCAAAAGTAGTGTTTAAGGCCTTCGGTCATATTTTATACGTTTAGCAAAAGTCCCCTGGGCTTGCGGGGGACGATTTTCCGAAATTAACCTGTTATAACAATAAAAAATAAACTAAAGTATGTATGAATACATCATAAGAAGTAATTTAAGGTATTCGGGCATATTTTAAACGTTAAAACGCGGCTTTAGGGTCTAAACTGGCATAATTAGCGCATTACAAAAAAGTGGAAACCATGCGACACTTGCGAATTGCCAAAACGATACACCCAGGTCCCGAGGCCCCGGGAAGGGCGTACGTACGGGTTTTTGCCTGGGGGCGAAATAGCAGCATGATTTAGCTGTGCAGGTTTTTTCAATGGCGCGACGCTCACGCACGCTTGGGTCTTTCTTTTCTACCGGACGTTTTATTAGTGCGGGCGCTGACTTGTCAAACGGTTACACTTCCGTAAGTCCCGCAATTAGTGCGCCGCAGTTTCTAGGTCAACTTTTTTAACCTCTTTACCCATGCATCCAGCACTTTCCCGGTTCCCCACAAGACATAAATAAACAAAACTCAAAACAAAACCCGTTTTTCAACCGGAAAATCTTAGTACATTCGACGTGGCTGTGTGCGGGCGCTCTCTCGGGGCGTAGGGAGTAGAGGCGGGCAATAAATGCCAACGCCCGGTTCACGTGTGGTATATTTAGCTCGCAACGCGTCAGCGCTATCACAAGAAGCGAAAATAGCAAAATTCGGCTTCATTTTATTAGAAGGGGAGAAGAAGTGGATAGATTTTATTAGGGGGGAGGAGCTGGCAGACCGGTCGATCTCAACTCATCGTTTCGACGGGAAACCACGGTGCAGTAGGGACACGCTGCGCGCCCGCCACGCGGCACAAAGAGAGCGGTTGCACAAAGTTGGCAAAATTTCCCAAACTAGACCATGTCGTAATCGGATCTATTAGTGCGCGCAAAATTATATTTAGTGTTCCCAACTTGCCATCACCTTTACGTCGACCCCATCAACAAATGGTAGCCAAAGGGAGATCGCGCCCTGGGGAGGCAGAATTTTCTTTCCAGCGCGTAACCGATTGGCTATGCCGTCGCTATCCCTTTAAAATGAGTTTTTTGTTTGATACGAGGCTTGTTTTGGCCTAAAAACGTGAATTTAAAGCTTGAAATCATCATCGTTTCTGTTTTTCTCGACTAATTTCCCCTTTTCCAACTTGATCCTAAAATTTGAGGCGTAAATAGCGCTTCTAAATGTTAGAACTCATCGCTTCATCACTGTTTTTCTTCGATAATTTCTACTTTTTCAAATTCTTCTTCAATTTTTAGGCACAAAATTTGTCTGTTTAGTTTAAAACCGTTTTTCTTCGTTGTTCCTTTGCTAATTCCCTTTCACGTCAATCCCGAATTTTTAGGCGGCATCCAGCACCAAACTTGGCATCCTATGGAAAATCGTGTCAAGGATGAGGTATGTTATTTCGGCATTTTACTCAAATTTCGCTTTAGATAGTAGTTGACGCGACGGATGAAGTGTATCGGTTGATCGAGGGGCGTGCTGATGGGCTTGACAATGACACGCTCAACCAGCTGACCCCGAATCTATCCGCCAAGGAGCGACAGGTTCACTTTTTTTAGAACCTTTATTTTAGTTTTTTTTCAGGATGCAATTAACCAACTGCTAGCCCAACAAAAGCTCGACTTGATCCAAGTTGCTGGACAGATAAGATTCAAGTAAAAGCGATATTTTGGACGAATTCAAGTTTGATTTAGACTCAAATCGGGAACGCAGCTGGAAGGCGTTTCACAGGAAGAGCAGCTGGTGAGTTTTTTATTGAAAGAGTTAAGCCCTGAGCTTTAGATCTACCAGCTGATCGAGGAGAGCTCCACTAGCGGTATCTGGATCCGAGAACTACGCGACGGATCCGGCCTCTCTCAGCTGCAGCTGCGGAAGGTGCTCAAGCAGCTCGAAACGCGGAAACTAATCAAGACGGTCAAGGTGCTTTATTTTCTGTTTACTATTTTTGTAATTTTATTCTATTCTCTAATGTCATACGTAAACATACGGAATTGCCAATATAATATTTTCAGGCGGTGGGCACGACGAAAAAATGCTACATGTTGTCCCAATTGGAGCCGAGCACCTCGTTGACCGGAGGAACTTTTTATTCTGACCGACAACTCGATGCGGAACTTATTCAATCTTTGGTATTTTTATCGTTAAGCAATAGTTTTTCTCCAGGTGTCCGTCTCGATCAGTTTCCTGAACATGAAGCGAAACGAAGCTCGCGAGGTCGCTGCATCAAATTTGGAGATGCAAAAGGAGTTGAGCCTCGTACGACCGGCAGCCGTAATTCTTTAACGGTCAACGAAAAGCCCTGGTTTAGATTGCTAATTTTGTTACGGAGAAGCGATTACTGAACGTGACTGTAACCGAGGAAGACATTGATCGTATTTTAGAGGTAGATTGGAATTGTATAAAATTAGCTTTGTGGTTAGATTGCCGTCTTGGACGGGAGCGCAGAAAGACGGCCAGATGGGAGGGTGCGCGCCACGGCACATGGTGAGTGAGCTTTATTTCTTGATGATGAGTATCTTGTTTTTTTTTCTAGTGCCGGAAGCTTCTCCATTGGTATTAATTCCATGCGCGACCTGCCCGGTAAGGAAGATTCAAACTTATGCCATGATTTTTAAGCCTTCTTAGCCAGTATTATTATATATTCAATTCCAGGTAATTGATGACTGCAAACCCGGACATGTCATCGCCCCAGAAACATGCCAATATATGCGAGACTGGCTAGGAACCACGGCCAACGTCATTTAAAGAGGTTTTTTGTTCGTTTGTTTCCGTTATAGATTCCCCCCTATTATGCACTTACGGGTGATTCCCTCACATTGTTATAGCTGCCCTCGAATCCAGCGTTGTCTGTTGTGGATAAATTTATTGAAATGGAACGGGAAAGAACACCAATCACAACGTGGACCCATTTAAAATAAGGAGAAAATTATCCGTGGCGACGGGGGCCTAATAACCGGGTGAAAGTCACTGACTCAGAAGTGGCGCGCGGGGAATGAACGCTGTTATCTTACCGTGTTGCCCCGGAAATGGGACGTTGGTGGGTAATTTTTTTGTGGAAGAGAATTGTGAAAGGATTAGAGGAGAACGGGACGCACAAAACCAGGAATAGTGGGGGGTTCTAAAGGCCGCAGGGGGTTGTTTTTCGCGTTGAGGTGGCGTGAGAGGTGGTAATCACTGAGGAGCTGCATCTGGTGGTGGCTGCTCGTCTTGGTCGGCTGCCGGGGCTGCTCCTTCGTCGCCGATCAGAATACCGCCAAAGACACGGCGCAACGCATCGCCCAACGAGTCGCCCTGGAAAAGTGGTATGTACCTGGGAAATGTGGGTATTTGCCGAGTTTTAGAGTTTTTCGCAGCTTCAAAATTAATTCCCGGAAAGTAAAATAGATATGGAAGATAAAAGAAATTGAAAATTCTTGATTCCTGCATATTTTTAGTGTAAATCGGCTGGGATGTATCTGAATTCTGCAACAATTTTCGATGCATAAAGATACAAATGTTTTAACTATTTCAAAGCTGAAAACGTCTGAATTTCTGCCAAACCGGATCAAAATGACTAAAAAACGCTGAAAACATTGTTTTTCAAAGTTAAAAACTTTTAAAACATTTAGGATATCGGAAGCTAGCAAACACGCAATCAAAATACATTTATAGGCTATGAAACTAAATTTCGGCTTCACAACCATTTACATTAATTCCCGCAAAGTAAAAATATGCAATTTCTCCCCATCTCCCCCATTTGCAACTCTATGAAACACGGAAGAAGCCGGAAGCTTCATCTTTTCCCGATGCGGGGGTGAATTTCTCGGGTGGGAAATAGGTCACGACAACGTGCATAAATTGCAAAACCTTTAATCCGGGGTTGGCCATCTTTCCATGACGAATGTTCACGCATTGCAGGTTCTACGCGAAGGATAAACAACGTGTCCACTTGACAGTACTCCCGGATATTCCGGCCCGCCGCTTCTCCTCCTTGCCCGAGCCAATATCCGCCGGAATCTGTGCCGCTGAAGGGGGCAACTACTTGAGCGCGGGATATTGGTGGCGGTCCGGTGATCTCGGGGCCATTCGACGATTCAGTCAAAGAAACCGACGCGACGAAATGTTCAACGCGCGCCGAGTTGTGCGAGGTTGGTTCTTTTAACTGGCTACGAGTCCCAAAAAATCTAAATTCTTGTAAAATTTAAAAAAAAAACTTTTTGAAAACAGGATATCAATTTTTACGGGGGAAATTATGGGTTCTCCTGGGGTTTTTCCTTGCTTACGAGGAAGCGCAAAGTATATTTTTCACCCATTTCCGGCGTCGGGAATGACAAATCTGCGGCCAAAATAGCGAGATATATTTTCATGAACGGCGACTCGTGGCGGATAATGAAAATATATGGCTGAATAGAGCGATTAGGGGCCCGACAAAAGAGGCGGTCTGTTTTTGGACGATGGGCTCGAAAATCTCGCGATGGCGAGAGCAATTTAGAGCGTTTTTTAGGAGCTCTGGTGCCTAAAAAATTACAAGTTGTAAGCACAACCATCGTAAAATTTCTAATTAAATAAATCTCTATCCAAAACTCCCAGACAGTTTGTTGGCACGCCTAGACTTCCACGGCTTCCCCCCCGCTAAAAAAGCCAAGCGGGTTCAACCGCTTTTCCCGGGGAGTGGCTCCAGTCGTCGTGATGAGCCGGGGGGTTGAGTGTGGTGAAAAATTAATGAAATGTGCTCCTCCGGGGCTGAGCGGGTGAAGGCCCTGGACACGCACAGCATGTGGAGGAAGGAACGAAGGAAGGAGAAGCAGGAAGGAGACCCGGATGGATGGAAAGACCTCAACATTCACATTTCACATCCCCCAACTCCAGCCAGTTCTCACAAATTCTTTTTTTGAGCTTCTTCTCCTTGGCCGGGCTTCTCCTTTTGAGCTTTCCCGACCGCGCGGCACACCTGCAATTAGGCCGAACAAAGTGTGTGCTGGGCAGGGGGAGGGGGGATAAGTTGGAGGCGCTGCTCAACGAGGCCACCCCGCGGGGTTGCGCGGCCTTTTTTTATTGAATTGACTGGGGCTACTCGAGTTGGAGGTGCCGCCTAACAAATAGGGCATTCAGGTGCGCTAACGAATAAGCGGAACGCAGAGGCTGCACTATTTGCTGGTTGTTTAGCTTATCTTACGCAACTTTGTCCAGAATAATGTTCATTTTTGGTGCTCTTCTAACTCGCGAATAACCCCCAGGTTTTTCGTAAAAAACATTTACGTATTAGCTCATTTTACAAAGTATCTCTAGAAAAAAGATTAGCCTTGAAAAGTTCGGGTTTTCACGTAGATAATATAATTCTTTAACTAATTTTTTTAGAATATTCTTGTCTCTACAATAACCAGAGAATTTATTACCACACGTTAGAAAACATTACTGAAATTTTTTAGCTGCAAGAAAAACTATTAATATTATAGCAGCGTTGTAATAAGATACCTCCGTTTGCGCAAATCCCGGAATTTTGTAGCAATGGCTTGTACTCTAAAAATTCGTTTGACGCTCCAAAATTCAAATATATTTTCTCGTTTCGCTCGCTAACGCCCACGCCGCTAATCCAGCATATTTGTCACCGAAATCGACGCTTGTTTCGCAGATCTAGTCGCCTGGTTTCGAGCCGCACTTCTAGAGTACCGTCTAAGAACTCGAGAGATCTCACCTTCGCACTATAGCCCAGCCCTCCATCTATGCTGCTTCGCCCCAGCCGAGCCAGCGCCACATATCGTAAGTTTTGGGAAAAACGGACTTAGAAAAAATCGTGGTACGTAACCTAGATCGAATATTGGGCTAGGGGGTCAAAAGGTCGAGGATCATTTTTCTAGAGTTAATTTCCGAAAATCACGTTCCTGGAAAGGCATAGTTACGAAAACGCATATCTTCCAAAAATTCTGCTTCTAAAAAGTTACTTTTTCTAGACTAAAAGCTTTGGAAGGTTTGCACTGCTATTTCTTGCCAATTTTGGGCTTTTTTGATTGTCAGCTAGAGAAGCGAAAAAAGAAAGCTAAAAAATCTGTCGAACTGATGATTTTCGAAAATAGCCTCTTGAATTTCTGATTTTTAAGAACGAATTTTCGGTCGTGAATTCGAAGCTAGCTTTGCGGTTTTGACAAGCGAGCATAATTTTTCTTGGCCCAAATCAAGGAATTGTTCTCCCAGCGAGTATTGCGACTAATCTGGTCATTTTCTCGTCGGCCACCGCCGCGCCCCAGTTGAGCCCCCGACCGAGATAGATTTGTTTCGAGCCGGGGGGAGTTGGTTGCATGGTAACCCATTATCTTCTAACAAAACGAGATTCATTGGTGTGCTAAGAGGACCATCAATCTTGGATTCGCGCCCGGATGTTGCTACGACCGAATCGGCCAAGTCGAACGTTTTCAATTAGTGGGTGAATTTGAGTGGAGAAAATACGGGCGGCTACATAATACAGAAGCTTGACGTTTTCCAGTATATGTTGATTTTAGAAAGACTTTTGTAATGTGGGGCCGGATCCGGGCAGTTTCATGCTACTTTATTCTTAAATTACCATCGTTCTTTTGTTTAACTTTTTTTAGTTTCGCAGGTAATAATCATCTTTTACGCGTTTTTAATGCGTTTTCTAAATGTTAACGCTTTGGATCACAAAAGGAGTCCTCTTTGAGCGCTTTTGGCGTCTTGCGCTGAAATTCCGAGCAAATCCCATCCCATCCTTCAAAAAGTGTTGATCTAGTGTAGTCTTAGAGAATATTTGTTCTGAAAGCGCCGATTTTGCTGATTTTTAACGCGTGATTAACAAAATGTCAACCTGGAGAAACGTTATTTTACGTTTAAACTCATAAGTTGTCATTTTTTTTGCGATTCTCCGTCCCTTTAAAAGCGGTTTGAAAGCACCACCCTACTATCCGGGACTTTTTGGGTCCAATTACCCGGAAGTTTCCCATGGAATAAGTCTCAGCCAAAAAAAAACTCTCTAGGCTCAAAATAGTAGGGGGCCCCCAATTAGACCTCTAATTGTTCTTCACCCCTCTGGCGCTTCTAAATATTATTGCCGCTCTTTCCATAAATCCCAGAGAGCTCAGACCGGATGTAATCAGCGGGGTGGGCAATGTGCAGCTGTGTGTGTGGCGATGGCTGTGCGAAAAATTCTTCAGAAATCCCCGCCTCCAGAGCCGACGGCAACACACCTCATCGGCCGGCCCGGACAGCCAGTAGTCTTTCCCAGCGGCGCGACAAATCTCCTTAGCAAGCGACCAATCACCCAGACAGAGTCTGGGCCTTTATCGCTCTCCCTCCTCAGTCTGGTCATCACCCACTGGCCCCCCGTCAGCATTTCCGGGCGGATATATACGATCTATCCGCGCCTCATTTTCTGAATATTCTGACTCAGCCGGGAGGTGCTCGCCACCGTCCAGCCCCATCGGCCACAATTATTTACCGGTACATCGCATCGCTGCTGCGCATGACTGCCGCCAGTGATGTGGTGGCATTAGGTAAAAATAGAGATTTTAAAGGGATGGCCAAGGCTTTTTCGCTAGATTCTCGTTGGAGTTGAAGGCGTCAATTTCCATTCACATTTTCGCCAAGTGATAATTTGGACAATTTTGCGTCAAGTTATCAGTAGGAAAGACCAGAGGGGGCATGAAATAGGCATAGAAAAAATTCGAAATTATCTTTCCGAAAGTTATTTGCTAAAGTATGTCTTGCGAAAAAGTGGTTTTCTGAAGCATGATTTTCGAAAAAAAAATGCCCGCCTGCATGTTTCTAAAATAACTTCATATTTTTGTGCTCTTTTCTCCAGCTATCAACGCGAACAAAAATTCGAATAATCTTCACACCTGCAAAGCGCTAAGACTTTACCTTTGTATTTCTTTCTATAACAGACTTAATTTACTACTACAAGCCCTTTATCGATTCATAAAAATTTGCATAACTCCTTTTTTTGCGGTACTTTCACCCCAAAATAACAGCCCTCCAAAACATCCCAATAAATTGTATCGCATCGTCCTCTGACCCCCCAAACAAATCCGGCACCATGCTCTTGTTGTCTTTTGGACCAGCCCCGAGCTCAAAAATACGCCCTTAAATCATGAATGTTGTTGAGAGACATCGAGCCGGGCACCCACGCCCCCAGGGTTAGGGTGGAATATTCATGACCCCGGGTTCCTCCTAAATAAAAATTCATGCCGTCAGCTGCTTGGGAGATTCTGGGGGGTTGGCCTGGCAACAAGCCGGCAAATTGGTACTGAGGTAAAAAACCTTAGCTTTTGCTAAATAAACTTTACAGCGCATGTCCAGGGTTGCAGTGCGTATATACACCTATGCGCAGGGCACTACTCATTTTTCGAAGAGACGATATTTCCTATAATCGTATTTTACAAAATCCGTTTTAAAAGTTTGGAAAAATCCGTTCAAAAAGAATTAAAACCCTTTCATCGCTGTTTTTTTGTGCCCTTTGTACCACTATCGTAGCTGGGAAATTTTCTTTTACACGGCTTTTGAAAAAGCTACTTTCCGAAAAGTTAATGTCATCAATATGATTTTCGAAAATATGGCTTTAATATTTAAATCCCTATCTTTAAAATAGTCTCTACGTAGGTAGGTGTACACGCTGCCATTATAGAGCCAGTACCTGAACGCGCGATTTAGTGAGTCCATGCCAGTAAGACAAGGTATACGACGAAGCGAGAAAGTCCTTATTTATCTCGCCGCCCTCCCCATATTAACTCCAACATTTTCAGCTAGCCTCGAAGAGGACACGAAGGTCTTCCGCCGGGTGGAGGGCATCACGCTGACATGGTAATCCTCGAAAGATTGTCGCAATTCGGGTCGGGCGCCCCCTGGGAAAAGCAAAAAGCCCCAGCAAAACCCGCTCCTCACTCCCACCCCCTGCCAAGGGCCCAAAAAGCCATTTTGGGCAGGGAAGGCCAAGTAGGCGTGAGAACGGCGCGAGATAATTGGACAAGTTTATGGGGGCCGAGGTGTCGCCGGGAGCTGCGAAAAGAAAGTAAAAAAATAAAGCGAACGCCTGGGGGAAGTACGGGAATAGGGAGAAACCCGAATGAAACGTTAGGCGCTTTCCGTTTAGCGGGGGGGTTAGCGGCACTAACCAAATTTTTCCCAGTCATCCGGACGGTCCTATAATCAATAGAATAAATAATAAATATATTTCCTATTGGGTCTCTAAACGCTCATAAAAAATCTGACATTTGCGAAATCTTTTCGCTTTTTGATTAAAAATGCATAAAAAGGCCCCAAAAAGTTTTATAAGTTTTGAAACAGTTTTTCAATAACTTAATTTAATTAATTAAATCAATTAAATGTATTACTCAATAATAACAAAATGAGATTAAATAGTTACAGACAATTTCCCAGCAACCAAAGACTCCTTCCGCTTTCAGGGTAGAAGTACTCGTCGTCGTCACCCTCTATATCACAGCCATGGTCTCACTGCTACTCATCTTCGAACTGATCAAGCCATCACTCTACCTTTTCTAGCCATTTAAACTCGCCCTTTCCCCCTCTCTAACATCTCTCATCTATTCACTTTTAACGGGTCAACCGGATCTAGAGCCACTCTACTCCGTCAATTACCGTAGGCCATTCCCTAGTAATCCACTATACACCCTACAAATCATTACACACAACGTTAGCTATCCGGGTCAATGTAAATGCCTTTGCAAATCCCTATGTGTTTGAGTTCTTTGCGCATTACTAATAAAGAATTCTACAGGTCATGCTGCCCCCGTCCGCTGATTTCACCTGTCGCACCAAATGTCAACGAGCAAATGCAAAAGGATACCGGCTGATAGTCGGGCAGCATCGAGTGGAAAAAGGCGGCGAGCAGGCTCTGCTCGGCGTGTGGGTTGTTTGCCTCTTCGCGGGTGTACCTGTAAATCAAATGTTATATAATCTCAAAACTTAAAAAATTTCCAAATGCTTGAAATTCGGGTTAAAAAACCGGCATGGTTGGCCTAAAAATTAATATTTTTAGTATTTTCTTCGATTAAAAGGTGTAAGGCATTTACACTGCTGAATAGTAAAAACAGTGCAGAAACACTTCCCTTTTCATACCCAAAATGGGATCAGCTGTAAAATTTCTAGGCCCGAATTTCAAGTTCTTTACATTTCTAAAATGTTTTTTTTACAACTGTTTAACTGTGAAAAGATACTAGAGTACAATAAAACACTATATTCTAATAATATTCTAATACTAGCATCTAGCGGCTAAATTGGTATAGGGAATTTGGTCCCGCGATATTGAACCGGCACTGGAAATAGAACTGGGAAAATAGCACAAAGAACAAATTCTCCAAATCCATACCTTTGCCGGTTATTTTCCGGAGGTGCAGGATCGGTGAGCGAACTGATCGTGTGGTCGATGCCAATCAGGAAAGCAACCCTGCGAACGGGTGCCGGCACGCCGAGGAATACGCGATGCCTCCGAAGCCTCCACTCTTCCATCTGACGCGCAAGAGGTTGACGACGCACCGTATCCGCAGTCACTCTCTCCAGCCAGGCGAGCACATTTGGCGCCTAAAAATTGATTAAAAATCTCGTGATTTATGTATCACCTTCCACAACTCGGAAGTTTGATTCACGTAGATCTTGTACAACAGTCGGACACCTTCCGGCTCTCTGAAAGCACAGAAATCACAATATCAAAACTAATTCAAACTTTTCAAACGTCGTACTGCGGAAATAGTAATTTCCCTCCATTTCGGAGCCGGCATGGATACCGAGGACGTTCCAAATCTCGGTGACGACGCCCGGGTGAGCGATGATTGCGCTTTGAAGCTAAAAGCCGGGTCCATAAAAAATTGACAATCTAAATACCAAGAAATCCGTTTCTTCTGCGGCCTCATTCAGCATAAACGCCGCGAGTGCAATGGAATACACGTAGTTCGGGAGGAGATTCAACTTCTTTGTCACCTAAGAAAGTAAACTTTACAAATTAAAGATAGTCTACTTTGAGCGGAGCGTACATCCGCTTCACCCAATCATACTGCTTGGCACGGAGGGCCAGTGTGTCGATGAGAGACAGCATGCAGAGTGGGTCTAAAAACCCTTTTTTGATAAGCAGACAAAGAAACTAACCTTGTGGCTCAAGACGATAAAGCAGCTTGCCAACGTTGAACGCCGTCTTGAAGCAACTGAAGATGATTAGGAATAATTTTTGTAAAATATACCGCTTTTGCACGCAATTGAGCATATGCCGATGAAGCAAAAGGAAGAAGGCGCGGTTCTCATACACATCGTAGCTCAACCGATGGCCCCAAGTAAAGACCTAAGCTGATGATGAGTTAATTGGAAGGCCGAAAAACCTCGAAAACAGGATGGAAGGATTGCTCGCAAAAGAAGATGCCGCGCTCTAAATACTTTCCTACTAAAAAATACCTTAAAAAAATACCTATACAATCGTTACTCTGGGTCCAATCCTCTTGCATTCGGAAGACGTTAGCCATTATAAGAAGGCTGTTGAGGTGATAGGAGGTGGCTGCTAAGATCTAAAGGAAAATCACACTTTATCATTTTGAGCGATACCTCATTGACGAGTTCCGGATTCATTGTGCTCTCAGCAATCCAACAAAGACGTTCCGTCTTTTCGTAGTTTCTAAATGTCAAATACGAAAATTACTACACAAAAACCCACTGATTATGAGTAAATTTGAAGTATTTGACGTCAGGAATTTGATCGGCTTCTGTGTCCACCTCCATCGAAAGACCTAAGATCTTCTTATATCACTAGAGAAAATGATCAACACACCAATAGAACGAGGCGGTGGCCAATTCATTTTGGCTTTTACAATCCTGCCCCAGCCAGCTTTGTGCGTCGAGCGACCGCCGTCACGAGGAGTCGAGCCCTCCTTCAGCACCTTTCCTAAACACATGATCAAGATCCCCCGAATCTTCAAACCGAGCGCCTTCCTCAACTCCTCGGCAGCATCGAACAGCTTCGGGTCGGGCTTGAAAAGCTCATTGAGCAGAACCGGCTCGTCCTCACCCTCCTCGTTCTCCTGTATCTCTAGTATAATAATAAAATTCAGGGAAGCCCACCAAGAGTTTAGCCTCTGAAGCAAGCCTCTCGAGAAGCTGGTCTTCATCTTCCTCCTCTCCATCCGATAACTTTGCCTTCGCTTTTTGCTTCTTCTTCTTGTTCCGTTTTTTCGCAGATTTTGTTACGGGAGCCGAGGTCGCTGCAGCAGTCTCATTTTCTGGAAAAATGATGTTTTTATATCGCCCAATTAGAATATCATCTTCCACATTTTCGTTTTGAGGACCAACCATCACTCTTTTGTCCGCCCTCATCAGATTCATCCAAGAATTGAAAGCGATTTTGGCGAACCGGCGGGACAGGTTCCTCGTCACTCGAGCTCGCTTCTTTCTCTTTCGCCTACAAAAGCAGTTGATAGAAAATCAGAAATTGTCAACCTTTTGCGCCTCTTTCTCTTCAAGAAGCTTTCTCAAATGCTTCGTTGACATCACAAGTTACTAAACCAGCTTGTAATCTTTGTAGTGTTTCTCAATATCATGGTTCATCATCCCTGCCAGTAACGACAACTATTTATAAAGCCACGTTTTATTTACACGATGGATACCAGTAATATTCGGTCAACAAGAAGAGGCAACCGCTAATAATGGTCAATGTGGGGGCGAACAAAATACGACAAGCCAAAACCGTTTCTAACTAAGGCCTAGAAAACAACGACAAACATTTCGGGAGCATTACAATGATAACTTCGATGAAATCGAACGCATGAGGGGTGGAAAAGTCATCAAGAAAGACCAGGTTTTGCCGAGTCAAGGGCTCGTTTTATTTCGGGGACGGGGCTGCAGAGTAGAGCTTCGGGGGCATCCAAGCAGGGCAGAAGGGGACGATTGAAGTCTCGCCAACGAACAGTTTGCGTCCAGTCGAATTGAGTTGTATCAAGGCTAATCCATGGCCACCCACCGACGCAATGGTTTCGCCCACCTAAATAAATGTATTTTCACAATACTCCGTATCAAAAATACCTTTCGTTTTTCTGAATCGAAAACTTCGCCTCGTGGAGCAGCTTCCTCATTGCATCTGGAAAAAGATTATGTAAAAAATGATGTTGGATATGGATTACGTGAAAGGAATGATGCGTCGTCGAATGACTCCAGTATGTGCCGTACGAGCTGTCAGCTCCTGTCCAATATAGCAGCCCTTTTCAAGCGAGACACAGTGCAGGACGTCACCATTTGCCTAAAGAATATAAAAATAAAGCAAAAAAATGGCATACATGGAAAGGAAGCAGATCGCCGAGCTCGCTTTTTCCTTCAGCCACGCCAACCGAATAACGAAGAGCTTTGTATTCCTAAATTTCTCTATCCACCACCTCAAAAATTCTTACATCGAGCTTTCCATCAGATTCGTGCTTTCCGAGCAACCTGTAGCCTAGTGCCGGCGTTCTTGGATCAGGCGTTTTTGTTGGCTCAGAAGTGTAGTAGACGCTGTCCGGGCTATCTTCGATTTCCACCTAAAACCAAAATACAAAATGGACTGGACCTTCCTGTACCTGCTTTCGAAGTCTGTATTTTTCCAGCAACTTCTTGAAATCTTTCTGGTTCTTCGCTGAACACTCAACGAGTGCGCCGTCGTCATGACGGTAGATGAGCAAATCTTCCACGATACGGCCCTTCTCGTTGAGCAGGAACGAAGCCATCACTTTCTGGTCACCCAGACGCCTAAATTGCATGATGCAAACATTGAAATATAGCAAACCTCATATCGTTGGTGACGAGATTCTGCAAAAGGGAAACCGAATCGGGACCGCGAAGGGTCAGCAGTGCACGGGAGCTCAGATGGATGATTCGAGACATCGTGGAAGCCTGAAATCCTGTAGTTGGCGACGGATGCAACCGGGGGTTACACCACAAAGATGCAAGAGGAGAAGCGAGGGGCTACGCCGGGGTACGAGTAGGGCCCGCGGCAGGCAAAGGCATTCAACGGGAATTAGAAGGGTTGTGTTTCTCAAGGAATATATAACAATTTAACTTTCAGATAATGACATTATTCGTAGAGAAAGCGTGAAAATTCGGAAAATAAAAATATTTTGTACGTTGGGTGAAGTTTTTTTTTTGAAAAGAATTTGTTCTGTAGGACGAAAAACACCTATATACGCTCGAGCGTCGATAGGTGTATCCTGTAGTGCTAATTAGAATTTCCAATTATTTTTTTTTACATAAATAATAATTTTAAAAGATTTTCACCTACTTTTCGGCGTACTCTTCGAAGCTTGATCCAACGCTTCTAATAAGATTCCACCCCCTCATTCGCCGATTCTCTAAAGCGAACCCCCTGACACAACGGTCTTTGTTGATGGGTTCTTGCCAAGAGGGGCCCTTTTCGTGTACCACGTGGGGCACCCTGTGCGGCTATTTGGGGGCCCGGTGGTGCAGGGGTCACCAAAAACGACCACATGCCCCAATCGCGCGCAATGGCGTAACCATCCCACACTCACTACCCAAGCCCCAATCGATCGATCCGTTTCGGGGTGTCTTGGCACCAGTTTGAGGAGTTTTTTTAGACTTCTAAACCTTGTTTCCCTACTAAATCACCGTTTAAGTTATAACTTGTACTGTATTATATTAGTAGTTGGTATTCATTTTGAGGTACCGAGTTCGTCAGTGGATTTCTCTAGCTATTAGTATTTCCAGCCTGGATCGTATGATCGTGAAAGTTGTTGTTTCCTCCTCCTCCCACCTCCCTCGCTCCCCTCACAATGCGTGTGGTTGATCTTGATCGTCCCTAAGCGGCAGGCTATTCCTTCACAGTTGGGTGCCGCCTCGTCCTCCCTCTTTCTGAGCACGCGATTTGCATCTAAATACCCCAGATCGTCCCCACCACTTGGGCGGACGCCAAGGCCTTGTCATCGATCCGTTTTTGGCATAGTTAGATCGTGTCTGATTTCGGATAGGCGATATGAAAAGGCGTGCTCTAAGGTTGTGTTTTTGTACAGGTTTTTTGAGCCATCCGCGTCGTAAGTTCAAACCAAGTCGGCGCCGATTAGCCATTTTTTGTTTTAAACAGCACCTTCGACGAGCTCTCTAAAGTCTCAAGTTTCAAATTTTGAAGCTGTTTCCAAGCGCCATATAATTGCCTGCATCAGATTGTTTGTTCTCCTTATCACTCCCAGCATCAACTATCCGCCTACAGCAGCTGGTTAGATTCGATTTTCCAGGCGCTCCTCAAAACGCTATGCCCTCCGGCCAGGCTCGGCCCTTCCTTAGGAGGGGCGCCGGAACCACTAGCAAGTACAAGGTATAGTGATCAAACATTTTGTAACATTTATTTCTTTTAGATTGATTACCCCGCTTTGAAGAACAAGAAAGATCCGCAGGATTTAGAGGATGAAATGAAGCGACCGGAGGTTGATTTTGATTAGATACTTGTAAATATACCCTTTTAGATGCACTACGCCTCTTCTCCCGTGCGACAGAGAGGCACGACGACGATTCACGAGGAGGTTCGTATAATTTTCCAGAAAAATGGCGTTTTTTGCAGGGCAGCCTGAAGTACAACGATGCGCCGCGACCGATGAGCTCACAGGGTAGGTCTTGTTCCTTTTAATTCTGGGCTATAATTTAAATGTTATTTTGAGTGTTTTGGATTTTTTCGTGGAATTTTATATTTGTTTAGGAGCCGGCAAAACGGACAGCGGACGCGGAAGTCGTGAGGGCGCCACGCCGGACGAGAATTTGAACCCGGCTGCTGATCATCATAGTCCTGGAAGGCTTTTCGGAACACCGGAATATGTAAGATTTTTGTTTAGCTTTCAATAAAGGGAATTTTTCACCCTTGCTATTTTTGCATTTTTCCTTTAGCCGCCGTTTCAACTACCCTCACCTCGAGCCAACGATTCTGGGCTTTCCAATTCTGTGCTCGACACGCCCGAAGCGAACACCCCGTTATTGCCAAAGGTACCTACTAAAATTTCGGATTTATCCTTTTTTATAGCATCGCGAAATGGTCCTGGATCCGGATGACACCGGGACAGTGTCACCGACGGCACGAAGGGAACGAGTGGTCAGCTTGAACTTTGTTGAGCCGCCGGTCCTAAGACCAGGTTTGATCTTTTTCAGATTCAAAGATTTGATTTTACAGTAGAAGACGATGCAAAGACGGTGGCCTCTTCTACATCGCAGCCCGTCTCTTCGCTGGGCACCAATCGTTCGGAACGGGTGCGAGATCTACGCAAGTTGGGCAAGGAAGCTGGCCGAGAAATTGTTAGTATTTATTTTTTCAATTTTTGGTGGAATTTTTCGATTTTACAGTCTTCTTTCAGAGAGGCTTGCAAGACGCGCTTGATGGTCGGACTAGTACGCTGAATGGCGTCTCTGAAATTACGGAATATGACGATGCTGGGAGGTAGTAGATTTTATGTTATTATCTCAATTTTTCGATTTTCCAGTGTCCCATCAACGATCCCTGGGCCCTCTCGAATCTCTGTCCCAACCTACCGCGTCCCAACCGAGGACTCGAATTATTTGCAGCGGAATTTTGGTGGGTTTGCGGCGGGTGCTTTGCTAATGTTTTTAGGAAGTGGTTATCGCCCTTTCGCGGATCTGGTGCCGCTTGCTGGTCAGGTGGGAATTTATGTATTAATGCAATGCCGTGTTCTTTAGTCCGTCAGATCCTCTATCGCCAATGCTCTGCCCTCCCAAGCCACCAGAAAGCCACCGCCTCTACAATCGAGAAAGAATCAGGTAAACGAATTGTTTACATCCTAAAACACGGTTATATTTAGGTTGATTCCGTGGATTTTCGCTCTTTGGGGGCGCCACGTAGTAGCAATGGAGTCGAGTATGCCAACAAGGCCAATCAGGTACTTTGCACGGGCTGATTTTGAAAAGGCTCTCATTCATACTGTCGTGGTTGGGGTTTTTCCTGAAATTCGACGTTCTGTGGACCATCCTTTACGCCAAGCTTAAAGGGATGCCGACGGCATAGGCATTCGGTTACGCGCTGGAAAGAAAATGTCTCTGCGCCTCTCCCATGGGCGCGCTCTCTCCCCTGTGGGCTACTTGCCAATTTGTTGATGGGGGGATCGACACCTGCCGTCGGCAGCCCTTTAAATTCCGGTTTAGCTAAATTCCTACCAACTCGCTCCGCTACCAAAAACGACAACTGCTTCCCTCGGCCGTTATGGGGATTTCCTTGCTCAGCCAAAACCGTTGCAGCGCTTGGCCGCGGATATGATGACACCGGAACCGAGAGCCAAAGGGTTAGTATAATTTACTTTTTTTCAAATTCCGCTCTAGCCGCCAGCAACCGGATCTTCGACGTGCTCAACAACTCTGCGACACGATCACCAGCCTCGATTTTGCTCGCGCGGAATGGGATCGACGCCGGAAGGCGGTGAGCCTTCGCTTCGGCATTGCAATGATCATAGGACTTTTAGTGTGAGAAACGTTTCGACGCTGAATGGGCCGAACTGATCGCCGACCGCGCTGAGCTC